GTTAGGTTAGGGTTCCGATATCTTTATTTAGGGTTAGGGTTGGGTTAGGGTTCATTAGTCCACCGATATCTATCATTAGGGTTGAGTTAGGGTTAGGTTTATTGATACCCACATTATAGTATTTCTTATAGCGGCGGACTAGTGAACCCCTGTCGGTGATAATATTTTTAATTTGGCACACAAATCATCCCTTATAACTAACGCATGCTTTTTTGTGAGGCAATTTCCTTTGTTCTGTTTGATGTTCACTCTTTGATCAGTTACTATTAATCTAAGTTCTGTCCGGACAAGATCCCAGTCATAAGATCTGGTTGTTAGGTGTTTTATTAAAGGTTCTTCGATATGTTCATTGATAATTATTGGAAAGAAACCGAACCGGATTATTATTTAGGATATTTATCGTCAACTGTATAAATACGGTAAGCAGTTTGTGTGTTGCATTTATAAGTTAAAGTATAAAAAGAAATATTTGAAGGGGCTATTTAAGACATGATATTTTTAAGCCTTATACCTGTAACTGAAACGATTTGACGTGTTGATCTGTTTTGCAGTGTGGGGAATGGGGAATCTGTAAAGTCAAATACGAAACTGAAATAAGTAAACAATCTTCCAGCTTCTATCCAATATGACTTTTAATTTTGGGGACATAAAGTACATGTATATATTGAACGTTGGGAGCCGAATCGTCATTTTAATTGAATTACCGTTAAAGGAGAAAATATTCCTTCCTAGCAATTTATGCTAATTCGTTTATTTCTACGAATATCGTTAAATTGTTGTTCATAATTAAAACGGATAATCAATCAGTATATAAAAAAACAGCATATTTTAAAACACCCACGTGCAAATCGCTGCCTTCTATATATGTTTATTGTCGTTCATTTTCAGACATTGTTATCAGAATTCACGAAACATGGTTTCATTGTCTGCTTGTCGGATCAACTAATGACATATAAAATTGCTATGTGTCTGTGCTTTATGGTGTGATTCACGAATTAAATACCGATGTAGATGTACATTATAAATGAATAGAACATAACGGACATTTTAGGATATGAATACAATAATACATTGGTACACTTTAGTTAATAATCAAAACGGAATTTGAAAAGAGTATTATGAATATCTATGAATTACCGGTGAACTAAAACGACTAATATACTCGTGATATCGTTCCATTAAATATTTTTTTCTTTCTAATAACGTTGTGGCAATATGGACTAAATTACTCTGACTATTTCAAATCACTATGGACTATAATCCGCCGCGAATTTGATATTTCCACCGACTATAATCCGCCGCGAATTTAATATTTTCGCGGGCGATAATCCACCGCGAATTTTATATTTTCGCGGGCTTTTTTCCGCCCAGACCGTCTCTAATTCCGCGGAGTGTATATGGGTAAAACACCGCGATTTTTGAGCGGAAAAAACGCCCACAAGGACTATTTTCATACTTCCGCCTGAAGTGTACTGTAGAAAGAAAATAAAAGTAAAGAAACTATGTATAATTGTATTTTACGCTCTGTTTCTTAGGATTTTTAAGACTGCTCAATTTTTAAATTAAATGTATTCATCATGATAATTGGGTGAAGTTCTTGCCTAAAAGTACACATTTTCTAACTGCATAAATATGCATAAGCTTACAAAATGATATTACAAGTTGCTTTTTACTTTAATCATTCAATGGTTTCAAAGCAGATGCATGTATGTAAACATGATCAGTTGATTGATAAAGGTACTGTGGCATATACACAGCACTCTTTAATTTCATACTGTAATGATTTTGATTTTCTCACAATCAAAAGTTAAACATGCATTATGCAAGAGCAAAATCTGCTTATTACAAGTCTTTCTTTAGGCCTGAAATGTTATCTAAATTATCAATTAGACATTAATTAACTTATCCAGACCATAATAAACTCTTGATGTCAAGGCTAGCCTTCGATGTTGGCTGGATTAGATTCCTATATCCCGCTAACGGCTATTGATAATTAAATCAAAAAAAGTGGATAATCGAGACTATGCTGTTTATATTCATGATTTTAGTAATGATGACCGAGACTGCAAAAATTTCACCCACTTCTTTCTCGGCTCATAGTGGATCAATTTGACTGAAATTTTCAGCAAATTACCTTTACACTATCTAGTTTTTAACTATTATAGCGAGAACTGCCATCTCTTTATCTTATCTCCCATAATGTATCTTTAAAGATGAATTATGTAAGATAAAGGGCTGGTTCTTGCTAAAAAATATACCGGTACAATGAAACATGATATTGAAAATTTCGGTGAAATTACTTTATTCTGATTGAAGTTATATGTATGAGGGTTTGAAATGAAATGAAATGGGGTTAAACGTCCTACTGTTCTGCTCCGAACTGGACTTTCTTGGCCAATGCAGGGATCAAACACCAGATCTCCAGACTAGCGAGCCAGCATCTTACCCACTTAGCCACCGTGAACCCATGGTGAGGGTTTGAACTTTGAAGTAGATGTAAATGGTTTGGATCATCAAGTACTATTTCTACGATGATAAAAGTCTTGATTATTTATTTTAATGTAAAATTATTAAATAGTGTGTGTGATCTAATTCATTCAATATCTTGATGGCCTGAAGAGTTTATTATGGGCTTGTCATGTGAATAAAATAATAGTTTATATGACATTTGAAGCCAGAAAAGAGACCTGCAATGGACAGATGTAGCTCTCGCATAATGCATCTAATGATGAATATGATGTTTTTGTGTATTTTGATATTTTAGAATTACACAATTATCTATGGTACCTTGGTTATATGTATTTATTTTCAACCTACGTGTGTTGGAACAATTAAAGTATTAGAATGCTAGGTAAAAAGTAAAAGTTAGACAACTGGTCTAAGCCCAAAGTACACCTACATGTATCTGTATTAATATAAAACCATACAACTGTAGATCTAGACAAGATAACTTTCAGATAAAAGATTCCTATCTTTTTATTGTTTTTGTTTAGTACTGTCCATTGAATGATGTATTATTAAAATCTGATTGACCTTTGTATGCCATCACTTTTGACTTGTGACAAAGTGACATTGTGAATGTGAAATAGAGTCCTGTCCACCCCGGAAAGAAAGGTCATCAAATTGTCATCATTTCCATCTTTGTTTTAAATGTAGTAATCTTTATCATTATCAGTGTCAATTAAGATCTGCTGTTCAAAAATTGAATGAACCCACAGCTACCCTGGCGAAGTATTTAATGTAATATCTGATAAAATTTTGATTTGAAATAAAAGATTCATGTATTGTAGCCCTCAGTCCAGCCAAAGTCTATAATTGAAAATTATAATATGCAGGGATGCTGGATAGAATTGAAGTTTTATTTGTGTAACAGAGACTATTTGCAGTGTAACTTCCTTAAAAGTGGCTTATTCTGTTTGGGTAGGTATTTAGCTATTCCCTACCAGTACCACCCTCATAACCCCATCCAACAATCCTGCTTTTGACCATCATGAATTTCAACCTCTTTAGATTTTGGGGAAAGGGCCATTACTCCTAGCCACTGACATCTTGTTCAGGTATTTAACCTAGCACTTGGCCAAAGACGATAGATAAGGTCACTTGACATGAGAGGAAAAGTGGATTGGTTTGTTTTAAAGGGACCAAACCCGAAGGTAAATACAGGGTTCTTGTCGATCTATTTGATGTATTAATATATCAACAAAGACGACCCACTGAGTTATTCAATACATAATACAAGTGAGTTGTTCCACAGCCTCTTCTATAGTATAAAGATCTTGAGTAGAGTGTACGTAGGTAGGTGTTGATGAGATTCATTCAACACAATATAGAGACGATTTTGTTATATTTGAATTGATTTAAACAATTCTTTTTAAAGGGGCATTAGTTAAGATTAGACAAAGAGCTGACAGTTCTCGTCTCGCTATAATAGTTAAAATATATATTGTGAAAAGGGAATATGTTGCCTCGATCATCATTCCTACCATTGTTACGATAATAAACACAGTCTTGATTATGCATTTTTAAATTTATTTCATAATCCACAAAATGTATTCAAAATACACTGTATTGGCATCAGATGGCATTGAGAGTTGATTATGGTCTAATTAATAATATATATAACATTCAAGACCTGCAATAGGCAGATTTAGCTTTTGCATAATGCCTGTTTAAAGATACATCATGTAAGATTTAGATAAAGAGCTAGTCATTCTTGCTATAATAGTTCGAAAATAGATAATGTAAAATGAATAATTTGAAAATTTCATTCAAATTACTCTATTGCGAGCGTAGATACTAGCCTTTGAAAGTTTGACAAGACGTGTGCAATAATTTCAACCACCGCACTGGTTGTTCGAAGCTATGTCTCGCTCCTCCATTTTTAGCTTAAATCAAAATATGGCTTAACTGTTCTAATCTATTTAATATCGGAGAAATCCGATGCCATCGAGAGTTGATTATGGCCTGGATAAGTTAATTAATGTCTAATTAATAATTTAGAAAACATTTAAGGCTTAAAGGAAGACCTGCAATGGGCAGATTTAGCTCTTGCATAATGTATGTTTAAGTGACTTATTTAGGTTTTAAAAATGAAAAGTTAAACATGTAAATATATAACACAATCCACATATATTCACTAAGGATGAGCAGTGTGAGCTCAAAATATATAGTCATTTAGAAGTGCTTTCTTGATTTGCCTAATGCACCTTAAGTAATTCCAGTCTTTATTGTTTTAGTGACTTACCACTATCCTTGTGCAAGGTTAGATATGGCTATCAAGGCACTTTAGAAGAGCATGGAATTTGGGGACTAGCACACGACATAAGATGTTGTACAACCAAAGGACTAAGATTTCTATGACCCATTCACATAGAATAACCCTTTTGATTTGTTAAAACATACCTGGGGAAACTCCTTTAACTTTTATAATAACTACTGACTGTAGGGAGTGTTGGGGATATTGTCCTTATTTACATTTGGATGGAATACCACAAATCAAATCTAAACATAGTTGTTAAATAAACTAGGAACATTCTCTTTAATATTGGCAAACTGCCATTATCTCTTTATGTTAGTCAATGATTTTATCAGATTTACACCAGGATGTCTATACATGTAATTGATGATGGTTTCTGCATTTTCCATTCAAGAGCAAATTGGGATAATATAACTAGATCATTTTGTAATTAATTAATTTGATTTCGAAAGGCTGTTTAATAATTTGAGAAAACCCAGAGAAAAGGCTGTGCAGCATGCAGCTTACTCCTTTTGGTAGGACCCAATGTAGGTTAGTAATTAGTATCATTTTCAGTATAACCTGTATTTTACTTGAAATTGAAATTAATACATGCATCAAAATTATATTAAATAATCTAAGCCATATCATCTGAATCGTTCTTATTTATTATTACTTTTAGAAAAAGTGTAGGTCTTAGAAAGATAAAAAGTAAGTTCACTTGCTGAGCTGAAGCATTTAGAAAGTGAATAAAATTATGAATTTTGTGAGGTTTATTTTACGAAGTGTAATCTGAATATGGTTTCATTAAATGGGAAGATTATTCAACATGTCCTTGTTCACCACACAAAAATAACTGCCGTAAACAAAAACCAGATTCATTAAAATTACCATAAATAAATATTTGACAAAGAATTAAAAGTTTAAAAATAAATGTGTCAAAGTGGTTTGTTAAAAAAAAATATAGGGCAGTAAAAAGTTTTGTGGAAGGATGTCTTTGTTGTAAGAAGCAGGGGTTAAGGTAAAGGCAATGTTTGTTTTGGTGTAAGTTGGAATGAGGTTGATGGGTCACTCTCTGCAAATATTTAGAAGGTCTTTTGACACTTCTCTGACAATCCTCATTAAGCATGCAAATATTTAGATCACACTCACATATTACATTTGTCTCATTTCAACAATAGGGCAATAATTATAGCTAGTTGAATTGCCATTGCAAGGACTAATAATGTAATTAAAGTAATATTAATATAATGTCATACATATCACTTCCCTGGTCTCTGGAAGTTGCTTGTTGACGACATACATTTCATTACCCAGGTCCCAGGAAGTCGATCAGGGACATACATTTCATTATCCCAGTTTCTGGGAATTGCTCATTACCACATTAATTAATACCATGATTAGTGTTCAAAGAACATAACAGTGGTGACAGTGATGGGATATTCTTATTTCCCTACATCATACAGAATTTCCATGCTATATGTTATATTTCCCTTGGTTGTACTAGCTTGTACTGTACTACAGCTGGATAGACTAGAATCGGGATAAAGTTTCTTTTTCAAGGACACAAGGATTTGACTTCAACCAGAATAGAACATACAACTGTGTGGTTATATTACTGATTATAATATATTGGCCATGTACTTTCTTGAATTTTATTCTTGACTAATGAGAATGCTCTATGATTTAGGGTAGTCACACAAAGTAGATGAATAATAATGAATCTATGATCTTGTAATATGTAATAGTAATACTGACAGGATAATATATTTTTATTAACTAAGCTAATCCTCTTTGAATTAGGTCAGATTACAGTTTTAAATTTAGGTTGATTAAATGTGTTGTTTCAGTTAGTGAGGGATCAGTTCTATGATTAAATTTGTGTTTTAAATTATTGACTTCAAGTCAGTTACATGTGTATCTCAATGCTGGTATTTAAATTATATTTACAGCCAGATAGGCTGCCCATTTAATAAAATCGAATCGACAATTTTATTTTTTTAAACCAAAGTCCAAGAGATCATGTTCTTATAACTATAACTATAAGCTTACGTTTTAACTATTTCAGTCAAAATGATATTACCTGGTAAATTACGTTTATTTTATGAATGAATGCAAACCTGTAGACTTATTATGTCAGTATTTTGTTAATGAATTTTCCATTTTTGTCAATCATTCACATTTTTTATACTGGTTATGGAGATATTGCCCATCTGCAGTTGGTTGTTTGTGAGAATGAAAACGGGATTAATGGGAAGTCAAAAGATCCTCTCTATCTCTCATGTAAATTCAAGGTTTCAAAGACTTCAGTACTAACAACATATTATAGGCTATCTACTGTATTTACATGTAGGTAGGTCTTAAAATAGCAATTTTAATTGTAACTGACAGAAAGTCAGATAATCATGGAAAGTATCAATAAGATTAAGAAATCAGAAAAAGAAAAAAATGCCTGTGTCTGCCAGAATAACATGTAGCATCATGTACTAGAGGCATTGTGTCAGACAAAGCCTGACATTGTCAGTGAAAGGTGACTTATAAATTTTCAAGCTTGGGTGATATGTATACAATAGGTAGAGAGGTAACATAATAAATAAAAATAAATCATTATTACCGTAAACTAAGCACGTTTTGCTTTTTCAAGGTTCAGCTTAACAAGTTGTTAATTCACCCAAATAAAACATGCTTTTTTTTCTTTTTTTTTGTAATTTTAAGTTTTCTCTGACGGAAATAAACAAAATTTGTTGTTTATATAGACTTTTATTGTTTACATAGGTGGAGACCAAACATTCTAATTAAATCAGATTTTTATTTCGTTACGGCTTAGAAACGTGATTGTTGCACTCAGAATTGGTCAAGAATTTGTTATGGTTTAATAATGTAACTGCATCAAAATATGCCGAATTTTGGCTTTTGATTGGTCATTTAGATCATGTGATCTGAGTACAGACGTCAAAAAGTCAGACACAATGCTGCACAAAATCAGAAATTTTAATCTGATTGGGCCTGTATTTGAGTCAAGAATTGTGGTTTTGATCCCAAGCTTCTATGTGACAAGGAGTAGGGTTGCTTGTGTAATTTCTCCAGTATACTTGTACTCCAACTGCTAGTTTCTGTTAATGAGTGTAACTTTTGGTTGCTTTTTTTCCAGAATCTTTTTAATTGAAGTTCATTCATTTCATACTGTATTTGATTGAATAAATGTCAATGTTCTATAAGTTTTCTGCAATAATTGTCATTCGAATAAGTACACAGTGAACTACATCCTAGTTTTATTTTGTAATAAATTTCTATATGCACAGATAACACTCAAACTGGGAGTTAATCTTTCAGAAGAGTTTGTTATTGGGAGTGTAACAGGAAGGAATATGTAAATTCCGATAGCTTCTTTGTCAAGTTGTACATTTTTTCCAACATGTAATGTTGAAATAATGGGTGTACACTCACTGTACAGTCAGTGAGTGAGCTGATTATGTATAAGATTAAGAGGATGTTGAAATTAAATTACTTAAAGGAGGTACTAGCGGCTTTTTTTTCAAAGAACAGTTCATTTTATTTTATTAAAAGTAACTTCTTTCTTAAAGATACATTATGGGAGATAAGATAATGAGATGGCAGGTCTCGCTATAATAGTTAAAAACAAGATAGTGTAAAGGTAATTTTCTGAAAATTTCAGTCAAATTGATCCACCATGAGCCGAGAAAGAAGCTTGTGAAATTTTTGGCATAGTCTCAGTCATCATTACTAAAATCATTAATATAAACAGCAAGTCTCGATTATCCACTTTTTTGATTTAATTATCAACGGCCGTTAGCGGTATATATATAGGAATCTAATCCAGCCAACATCGAAGGCTAGCCTTGACATCGAGAGTTTATTATGATCTGGATAAGTTAACTAATGTCTAATTGTTAATTTAGATAACATTTCAGGCCTAAAGAAAGACTTGTAATAAGCAGATTTTGCTCTTGCATAATGCATGTTTAATAAAAAGGAACTATTTTTATTTAATTGGCCTTGATGGAAATACTGGGTCAATATAAAGGACTTTGCAATGGTTGAATTGCTGTCAAAATATGATGTATCACTATGACGTAATGTAATCAGGTTCAGTAAAAGTGAAATCTATAGCAAAGAATTATATTTTTTTATTCTTGCATGTAAGAAGGGATTGGGAGATAAATAAAATCTCCTACGAGTCTTTTTTGATATAAAAAAATATCAACACTCGTCGATAAAGTAAAAAAACCTCAGCAGAGCCTCATTTTTTTCACTTTATCGACTTGTGTTGATATTTTTTGATATCAAAAAAGACTCGTAAGAGATATAAACTATTATTTAGACATTTATTCACCTGACAAGCAAGCCTATAATTAACTCTCTAGTTCATTGTAAGGCAGAGGCTTAATAGTTAAATGGATGAAAACATGGTCGACATTTAATGATTTAATTTAAAGATGGTGAAGCAAGGCTAAGTCTCGATAAACAAGTACTACAATTATAATGCCACATCTTGTTAAAACTTGAAATGGCGATAACCTCGCTCACAATAAAGTAATTGGAATGAGATTTTCAATATATATATTCATTTTGCATTATCAATTTTTAAACTATTATTATAGCCAATGCGGCCAGGTCTTTATCTAAATCTTAGATGAGCCATCTTTAAATAAGGGTACTTTTATAACAACAGTGAAAAGAATACATCATTTGGTTTGAAGTTGCATGTAACTTACTTGAAAAACAGCATGTTGATTACCATTTTTTTAAAACAATTAACCAAACCTGCAGGCAGTAAAGCTTTTTTTTTTATAAAAATCTATGAATCTAATTTATCTTGTCACATTTTCTAAAAATCATCAAGAGACTTGCCTAATTATCAAAGAGGTAAATTACATGAATTAGCTATATTGAAATTAGTCGCACTCACTAAGTTATATTCTTTTATTGGAATATTTATTATAGGTCAAGTCAGCTCATCCAAACAATGTGGGGAAGCTACATCTATAAACTTAGTAATCTAAGGCAGAAGATTATATACTTTTGATATTTTGGTTTTGTTTTCTTAATTCTAAATTCTCTATTTGAATATATTTTAGCATGATTTGAGTTGTGAAAACATTACTAGTTATTAGTTTAGATGTCAGATTAATGCAGATGACAGTCCACAGATTTAATTTTTATTTAACAATTGATTTGATTAATAATATAACAAAATAAGTTGAATTGTATAGACACATTGTTACAATGCTCTTCTTCAGGTTAAAAACAAAAATCTGGCCTTTCGTCAAGACTAAGTGCAGAAAGGTTATCAATTTGAAAGATGCGACTTGTCTTGACAGCAGTTGTTTCTACAATATTTTTAACTTTAAACCTGTGAAATGTAGACACAGTATTGTGCTTTCATGGGTTCTACACATTTGAGAATTAATTCTTTTTACGAAAATAAAATTGAAAGGTGAATCTTGAACATTGTGACTAGCCAACAGAGGACTTTTTGTATTGCACTAGGCACACTGCCTATTAAAATATTGATTTGTAACAGCATGTAC